ATTAATTTTAAATAATATTGTTTACTTTTTAATTTTAAAATATCAGAATAGGACATCCAGTTGTATTAAGACTGTCCTTTTCTTCGATATTAAAAATAAATATTTAAAAGTTATTATTTATTATATATATTTATGAATATATAAAAATATTTAACAATATAATAAAAGAAAAATTCTACTAAAACAATATATTTAAAAACAATAAAATAAATTAAAACATATAAAATAAATGACTAAATTACAGTAAAAATAAAATTAAAAATCTAATTCATAATTAATCAAAACTATAGGGATTAAATATGTTATTTCTTTATTTTATTTATTTGGTGACTAAAATAAAATTATCTAAAATTCGGATATTAGATTCAAATAAATTAAAAATATAAACTAGGGATTAAAATATTATTTATTAAAATTAATGGATCAAATCTGTAATTTATCCTAAATATATTATTTTAATATGGTGGACTAAAATAAAAGAAATTAAAATTCGAAGACTGAATTAAAAATATTATAAATTCAATTTAGTGACTAAAATGTAAAGTTTACAAGTTCAGAGGACTGCGGACAGGGTTTAATTATTTTATAATTACGCGCATAGTCCTTCCCGAAACGACGTCGTTCGGGAAGGACTATATATGGTCCCAAACCGGCTGGCCCGAAGGGCCAGCTTTCATTTCTCATTTCCCTCTCTCTCTCTAAACTGAGAGAGTTTTAAAACTCTCTCGCCTCTCTCTAGCTTCCCTCACCGGAGGGAAGCCGGTCACCGGTCGGCCACCGTGTTCCGCCGTGATTATCACCACCGGCCACCGCATCCGGTGGCCGGAAAAAATTTTTTTATACTAAGAGATAGATCGGACCGTCCTAAGGACGGTTCCGGTATTGTTTCCTCCTAAAAAGCTCCCAATCGGAGCAAATCTACAAAAGTACCTTCGGTGTTTCGAAGGTTCCGGTGAGATCCGGTGACGGTTGGGGCTCTTCGATGACAGGGTAAGCTTTTTCCTCTCTTCTCTTTTTTTTTCCTTGCTGCGTTGATGCTGACTGAGATCGTTGGTTTAGCTGTTGTTGTTTTTTTTTTTTCTTTCTCTGTTTTTTTTTCTTTTTCTCCGGTTCTGTCTCGGTTTCTATCTCCCTTCTTTTTTTCTTTTTTTTTTCGCAGATGGGGTGGTGGCTTTTATAGCCACCACCGTTGTAGCTGTCGGACCGGTCCGAAGAAGGGCTCTCGGTGAGTCACCGGACTACCAGTGGTGACTCACCCCGTAGCTATGGCGTGGACGGCTGGTGTTCTAGCTTCTGGATTCTTCGGTTGGGACGTGGCAGCGGCGGAGGCGGTGAGGGTTTCTGGAAGCAGCGGCGGCGGCGCTGGGACGTGTCCCTAGGGTATAGATGCCCTAGGGTTTCCTCTGGCAAACTGTGGACCGTTGGATCAAACCAGATCCAACGGCTGGGATTGAAGATGGCGGCTGGTTTAGATTAGGGTTAGGAAACCCTAACTGGAAACCCAAATGTTTAGGGTTTCTGGTTTGATCTGGACCGGTTCTGGTTGGTTTGTAACTGGGCCGGTCTAGTTGTAATTGGGCCTGTAATTATTATTTTTTTAATAATATGTATATATGTATTTAATATATTTAATAATAATAATAATAATGATAATAATAATAATAATAATGATAATAATAATAATAATAATAATAATAATAATAATAATAATAATAATAATAATATTAATAATAATAATATTAATAATAATAATATGGATAAAAAAAAATTAATATCTTCAATACTGATATATGATTCTTTTTAAAAATTGAATCGGAGACGTGGGGTACGTCAGTTTTATAGGGACACTAATATTATAGTAACAACAATAATAGGTGGGGACTTAAATTCAACAGTAACAACAATAATAGGTGGTGACTTAAATTTAACAGGGACTTTATCTTGTTAAACTAATATTTAACTGCATAATATTAAAATATAATTTTTAATATTTGATTGAATAATTATTTTAGTGTATTTTTTTTAAATATTTTAATCTTTAATATTTTATTTTAGAATCGAGGTCTGTTAGGTCAATTTGTGGTCCTACATGATGATTGAATACAAAATATTAAATGATTAAGAGTTGAACTAAGTTTAAATGATAAAATTGACAAAAAAAAAAGATATATTTTTAAATGCATGTATTCAATAATTCCATATAAAATCGATTGGAGTCATATTTAACTCGATCTAATTGACCCGAAAATATAAATGTTGACTCGAATAGAAATCGATCGATATGATATTAATTTAAAATAAAATACGAGTGCAACTATCACAACCCTGGTTTCCGCTTGTTTACAAACACAAACTAATTATATCTTTGCCAAGCTTCACGCTCTCTCTCTCTCTCTCACTTGTTTTCCTTCTCACTCACACTTTTGACACATAATAACTTCAATCGTCTAAACCTTTATATAGGCACTGATTAATCATCTCCGTTGTTCCTTGCTGTGGTATAACTTTCTAATGTCAGACTCATCTTCTCCCAAGCTTTGCCACCTCATTTTTGCTGCACAAGTAATTTAACTTTGACTTTTCGACTTGAAGAGTTGCCCTCACTCAATGTTGTGTTGCCACACCATTTTCAACTTTTCAACTAATACTCGAAGTGGACTGTGGAGAAGTGTTCCAGATGCTGAACAAAAAGAAGAACGACAGAACATCGCCAACCATACTCCAGCATATAGAAGAATTGTTAGCGAGGTCATGGACGATAAAATTGTCACACGTAAGACGGGAAGCCAACAAGACAGCCGACCGGTTGGCAAAAATGATTAGCAAAGATGAGTTTGAAGGAAGAATAATGATGGCACCTCCTCCTGCCATCCACTCGACATATTATGCAGATAGTTTAGGAAGAGGAGTTTGATTTTGTTATAGTTTAGTTTTGTCCTCATTAAAAAAATATATATACCGAGTACTCACCAACGCTTCTAACACACCTTAAATCCCATGTACATTCGTCAGTGATAGTAAACTAAACATATAATTATGATATTTTTTTATAATTATTGACACAAGAAACTAATCACTAAACAATCACCATATAAGGAAAATTGTAAAAATACTATCCAAAAAGCTTGAACAAATGATAAATACGAATATATTTGACTGTATTTGCAAACGAAAATAGGAGATCAAACTATTAAAAGATTACCGAAAAACACAAATCACTGCCAAACATAGTGAGAAAACTATCAATGATTGAAAACCACATATCCAACCAATTTAACCGTCCGGAGTAGGAAAAAATAGTAAGATAAATAATAAGCATCATCTTGAACAGTCTCGACGATGTCAAATTCAACCTTAAAAAAACAAAAATAAACGACTAACAGACCAATAAAAAAGACTAAAAACGTGCCAAAAGACAAAATAAAAAACGTATCATAAAGTAAAATTATTGAAAACAAAAGAAGAAATAAAGTTGTAAGATATGAAAATAAAGAGAAAACAATAAAGATCGTTGAGCGACAATCAACACTAAGACTAATGTCGCCGAATTAAAAAAAATGATTAGATATATATTTTAAATATGCCCTATTTTATTTTTAATGATAAATGAGATTAATTATTTATTACATTCAGTATAATAATGATGAATATAAAAATTAAAAAAAATGAATCTAAAATTTTAATATAATTTCCTTAAAGAATATTGGGTATGTAGTTTTTTTTTCATTTCTTTAATACTCTAAATTAATTTTTGCAATTTTTTTTGTAATAATGGAAACTTACTCCCCTAAGAAGCTAAATACATCCGTCCTGTCAATGTGACGAGTTCATAATACAATTCAGAATATAAAAATCAAACCAAATAGCTAGAGTCCAATGAACAAATGTGTGAATCACAATATCCATAAAATTGGCTTAATATTGTAGGCAGATTAATTATTTATCTAATACAATTCAAAGTAAATTATTTAAGAATCTACATCATTTATTATAGTGATTTTGAACTCATCCTATTGACGTAACAAGTTCTAATAAAATATATTTTTTATTCAAACTTTTCACTTAGATATACAAAATTATATTTTATTAGAATTCATCATATCAACATGACGATTTTGAATAAAAATAATTATTTAGATAAACACATCACCTCGACGTGTTGAATTTACCATGTAATGTAACATTTGCTGTAAATTGTAAAATAAATCCTAAATTAACTTATTAGGTCAATTAGTTTTTTGGTCATACCTCATGTGGCAAAAAAAACCCACAACATATGCTTCTTTATATATATATTTTTGATAAATAATATTTTTGGTCTTTATATTTTTAGTTTGTTCGATTTTGGTAATCAATTTAAAAAAAATTGTTTTGGTCAATTTTGTTTTAAGTCTGTTCATATATCATATTAGTAAAAATAGTTAAATTATAACTTAATCTCATAATTTTAGATAAAATATTAATTTAACCATAAACTTCATATAAAATATTAATTTAACCTTTAAACTTTATATAAAATATCAATTTTATTTTTTTAAAATACAATACACCATAGTTCATTAAATTATGCTTAGATGATCATTTCGATCATTGATATTTCAAAAGGTATAGTAAGTGTAAAATTTTAATAAATTCAATGATTATTTGTACTAATTCAATAAATTTATCATTTTGTTCAATGATTGTTTTGATCATTAAATTTATCAAAGTACTAGTATGAAATAAATGTTGTGATGTTTATAATAAGTGTAAAATATAATAAATTTAATGATTATTTGTAAAAATTAATTAAAATTTAATGACTATTTTATAATATTTTAATAAAATATAATTATTATATTGAAATAATTTGATAAATTTAATAATTATTTTATAAATTTTAAAAGTTTAATAGTCAACATGGTCATATTAAAATAATATAGTGACTTCTTGTGTACTTTATCCATAAATTTATCACTATAAATATTCCTATCCTACCCCTCACTTCTGTTTTTCACCCGTCTCCGCCGCCCAAAGCACGCCCGTCACCACTCCCATCTCATCCACCTACACAAGTACCTTGCCTTCAATTTTCCGGCAGATCAAGAAATTAAATAAGGTAACTTTTAAAACCCTAAACTTGATTTGAAGATTGATTTCTACTGCTATTATTTAATTTTTAGAATAGGTTGTGGAAATTTCTGGCTAGTTGTTAAATTCAGTTTTGGGTGAGAAATTTTTTTTGAAAGCTTCTTTTGAACGTTCAACAGAAGCGATTGGAAGATGAGTGGCGGGGTTGGTTTAAAACGCATGTTGGCCTCGGCTGTTGTAGTTGGGGTCAGTGAAGCTCGAGCTAGAATATTCGGACACGTACTTAACCCGGCGCGGCCGGTTTCAGCCCATAAGATTTTACGCAAAAAGCTCATCGGCGACAAGGTTGCGGAATGGTACCCATACGACATCAAGAACGATGATCCGCGTGTGATGGATCGGGCAGAAGAAGAGCGCCGATTGAAGCTTGAAATGTTGAAGAGACGTGGTAAGGGACCGCCGAAGAAAGGCCAAGGAAGGCGTGCTGTTAAACGCAACAAGTAGAGGTAATCATCAAAATGGCTTATGTTTTGACATCGTAAATGGTTCAGTTAGCCATCTTCTTGGACAGTTGGTTGCCATGTGCTAATCAAAGTCACTTTAACCGAGAATAAGTTGAACTCAACAAATATGGAATTGAATCAGTTTTTGGATTTTAGATCGTAGATAGAGTTCGAATCTGTTCATGAATCATATTTGGTCTCGTCTAATGTGTTTTGATTAGCTCTACAAAATAACCCAATTTGAACATACATTTATTTTTTAAGTTAATAGAAAATGCCTGCCTGTTCATTTCTTCTCTTTTCCTGATCTTCATTCTCTATCTTAATATGATAGTGTGACCATAAACGGTATGAACCCACTACTCTAATTTTTAAACAAAAGGTGCTCATGAGCCACTGGATCATACCTGAATGGTGAAAAACTTACTTGCTAGTGAAAGTTCATTCTGCAGAACGGGGCCTAGCCAAGTTAGAAATAAATACTTTTTTTTATTAAGCCTTAATAAAGAAATAAGTGTCCAAAACCCTACAACCCAAATAGGTGGCTAATGTTACAACTGTTATCTGTTTAGGTGCTCGAGCCGTCAACGACATTAATTTCTGCCATTAAGTGATACGTGTCACAATCGGCTGATTTTGAAATTTATTTTTTAAAATAAATTATTAAAAATATTATTATATTTATAAAAAACACTAATTTTTCTTATATTATAAAACACCCCAAAATCTCAAATCCTAACCTTAATTCGCCGTTGCCGCTGCCCTTTCTGACCACGACCATCGCCACCGACATAGTCCCTGCCATCCTCCTACTCATACACTGTCGTATTTTCCGTCGATTGGCCATCGAAATCGCTTGGAATCACAATTTTACTCCTAGGGTTCGAGCAGTTTAAAACGTTGATTCGTCATCGATAGGTCGTCAATCGATCACAATTTCATGGGGGTTTGGTCACCGGGGGAGGGTCAGGGGAAGCTTACGGCAGAATGCGACGGTCGACGTGGGTTTAAAAGTTGAAAGGAATGTTTTCAAAGTTTTGGGTTTTCTTTTCTTAAAAAATATATATAATTTTAATTTTTTAATTTTAAATAAAATTTGAAAATTACTAGATTGTGACACATGTCATTTAACGGGGAAATTAACATCGTTATTGGCCCAAATACCTAAATGTGTAACGTTTGTAACGTTAGGCACCTGTATGAGCTGAAAATTAGTTTAGGGCACTTATTTGGGTGTTAGGGTATAGTTTGGGAACTTATTTTGGTATTAGCCCTTTATTAATTAAGTAGTTATTTGAACCGAACCAGATCAGGTTACAAGAATCTTGATGAGAATCAACCAGGCTCAGACTCAACTGATAACCGAAGGGCAGTTCTTCCCAGCCCAATAAATTTATAAAATTTGTTGCTTGTCTAGACATAAAGTTGTTCATCGCTTTCAATTCGTTTATACTAACTTCAACCTTGAACTATTTTTTCCCTTGGAAACTAATTAGTGTTTAGTGACTAGAAAAACAACAAAAAAGCATTGCCTACGACAAACGCAATGCTTAAAGATTACTGCAGCCGCATAATATTTTTCTTCTTTAATATGCACTAATGAACCGCTTTGGCAAAAAATTGTAGTCAAAGGATTGACATCTGCTACTAGCATCCTCATATAGGAGTTAAGGAAGAAGAAGTCTGACTTGTTTTCACTGGTTCTGGTGAGTTTCTTCTTGATTCTTTGCTTTGCCTCGAAGCCGGTCGGTGACCCTCACGATACGCATGAATCTGGTATCCTCGGGTGCAAGTGACTGTGCCCCAGCTTTAGGAGATCCAACTGGACTCGTTGGTGTAGTACTTTCTGTCTTGCCTAGCAGCCCACCCGCGCCAAAGAAACTAGTCATTGATGAAGCAATCCCGATGTGAGCTCCCATAACCTTACTCAAAGCGTCAAACGTACCACCCGCCCTTTCTTTCAATATGATTTCGAGGGCCTCTGTGTGTGCTGGATCTAGTGCATCAGGGTCCCTTAATAAGTTCTGTATCGCGGGGAGGAGGAAATCACGTACGCTATTTGCCGAAATTTCTGCAATAAAACAAGAAAAACACATCAACAGAAACCTTGTTTCCATGTAGGACACAAAATGGAGGAAACCATAAATGGATTACTACAAATTAACAGCGCCAACTTTTTTATGTTGCCCAAGTGTTAAAAGATAAAAGATTTTTTTTTCGTATAAAAGATGAAACTTCTACCAAGCTTTTTCCGATGAAATAAATTATCTAATAAAGAGGTTTCAGAGATTTTAATAATCGAACCCCAAACACCCTCCCAAGCCTGTTAGAAGGCGGGATGACCAACACATCACAGTGTTCTCACGAACTGACAGAGTTCGATGCAGGCTAGTATTGACGGACTTTGATGCTACAAAACATTAAATCATCGCTGCAACAAGTATGTATTTAAATCCAATCAATCAGGGGAGAGCAAGTCTACATGGGGTTTTAAATGGAAAATATGGAGAAATCTATTTTTACTACATGCAAAATACCAACCTAATAAAGCGAATGTACAAGCCACCTATTGCTTTGAGAAAAGGGGTTAGAAAATGTACATGTCATCCTATTCAGAGATAAATTGCATACGTGAAAATAATGTATCATTCAAAATATTCACTTTCACTTGCCAGAATTCAAATTCCAGAGACTGTGCAAGAAGTAATGCAACGAACATTAAGAACGTAAGAAAGCAGTGGAAGAGAAATCAAGACCTTAGAAAATAATAACACAAGGATTCTTATTCATCTACTCCAGGAAAGAGGACAATGAGTTGTAAATGAATATTTACAGTTTAATATAATTATGATGGAAGTATTGAAAGATTCAATACATAGTTGGTGGTAAAAAGATTCACACAATCCTATGGAATTGACTACCAAAAGACTCTTGTTCCAGTAGCCAAGTTGAACACTGTTAGAGTATTTTTGTCATTTGCAGTAAATGAAGATTGACCCTTCTTCCAATTAGAAATGCAAAATGCCTTCCTAAATGAAAGATGTCTACATGGAAATTCCCACATGCTTGGAAAGGTACTCTAAAAATCACAAGGTATGCGAATTAAAGAAATCATTGTATAGTTTGAAGCAATTACCAAGAGCTTGGCTCGACAGATTTATAAAAGCCTTGGTTAAAAATGGCTACAAACAATGTCAGTATGATCACACTCTTCTTAGAGGTGTCTCCAGAAAAGAAAACATTTCTCATACTATATGTCTTGTCTCTATCTTATATCATCTTGTAAATAATCTTATTTTATCCTAGTAAAGATAGATGGCTAACAAATAAGTTTTAGTCTTACTGGGTCACTATGTACTCGGCCTATTAATAGGCTTATTTTAATCAGAAAATTAAGAGAATAAAATCAAAATTCTCTTTACCAAAATACGTACTTTCTACACAAAATATTGGAGAACATAGAAGGGAGAGAAATGATGACTCTAGTCACTAAGAGAAGCAAACCTGTCGTATCCACAGCAGAAATGGCTTCACAAAACGCATTGGCTCTCTGTCTGCGAGACATCATATCAGTTGCAAAAGCAGGCATGCTCGACAGTTGGAAAATCTTGGATAAAAAATGTAAATCATGTTAAGCAAACAATAGCTTCACAGAAAAATTGGATAATGGCAATCACTATGGTGGCTAAATCACAATGCACAACTCAAACATGAAGTGCTAAGAATTGATTTTCACAGAAAAGTCAAGGATATAATCCCTAAATCTCTCTGTTGTAGTTGGAACTGCTACCACTGACGAACGGACCACGGCCATGGTTGTTTCATGAGAACCTTCTTCAAGAAAAGCATCCATTTGAACGCGTATTTTATCAACAATCTGTACATGATGTGTTTTATAGAACGATGTATAGAAACTGCATCAGCATGAATTATAATAAAACCCTCTGTACCGTGTCAATTTTAAAATGTTGTGCAACAGCCCCAAATGCATCTACGCTTGCATTCTTCACGTTCACATTTTGGTCCGAGCCAAGGGTAATCAAGGTAGGCAAAACATGTGTGGATGCATGTGAATTATACAGTGCATGGTTGCGGCCTTGCGGGCTTCAAATTACAAAGAACGCAAACCTAGTGGTCTGTTACAAATATTTTCCTTTGCGCAATTGATCACCATCTTAAACCATATCCAAGAACCATCCAATATGGGAGACTTAAAGAAGGAAGAGATAGAAATCATCTATTCATGGTCTACTCCAAGTTCACTCAGTACCAATCACATGT